TTTAGAATTAAGATATAGTGAGTGTGATCGTTGTATCTTTTGTTCTCTGGTCTGATGTTAGTGTCTTTTGTTGTGATCTGATGGAAGAAAACTTGTTTGCAGTCTTTTGAACGATGGTCTGATGGAACTGTTTTGTTATAAATCTTATTTGAAGCATTTTTAGTTATTATTTAATGTCTTTTGATATTTAATGCCTAGCAACTAGATGTATCTAACATAGCAGTACCATATAACTAACCTAGCAAACTCTTCTGACTCACGCCTTAAACGGTTCCTTTCAATAGTATGACGTAATTCATTGTTCTCACGTCGGAACCGATTTCGTTCAATCATGTGATGTAAATCAGATTGTTGGTCGTGCTGTGAAGGTACCAGTGAGAAAGACACCGGTTGCTGTTGACGACGCCCAGAGTGACTTTCAGCAGTAGTTTCTGGTCGAACTCCCTCTAGGGGACGATCGTCCACAGGAATCACACCACGATTATGAATGGTAATATTTCGTTGTGAATCAGGTGTTCATGGTTGAGAAGTTGCATGAGACGCAGTAGGAATATTATGTTGTTGAACATGCGACATCTGCTGCCTAGTTGGAGGATTTGAAGCATGAGCTTGACTAGGAACCGTCATAGTTGGTCATGTTCTTGTTTGTGCCATGAAATTAGATAGATTTCTGAAAAACTCTGGATCTTGGAAGAGAACAGAGTAGTCTATCGTCGTAGATGGCACATTTGTATTGCCAGTTATATGAGCAGGATGACGGTTAGTACCAGCTTCTGGATTTCGTTCTTGTCGCCCAGAACTTGGCATAATGATAATACGTGTATGGAAGTATTATTTTCACACGTATATCGTAGATCAAAAAAGTTGGCGGAGGTTCAAGCCGCCCTCCTTCTAGCGCCAAACTGTTGTTGTACGAAATTAACAACTCAAAATTATAAACAGCTGGGTGTGTTTAAACAAAGATTAATATAAAGTTGGATTTTATTGATATGTTCACAAGAGTACAAGAAGTCGGTTTTTTGTTCTTGACCGAGATCATTTCAAGTCCATGTACAATGTGCGAAAAAAGATTTCGAAAAAGATCCTTGTACAACCATAAATTCTGCTATTTATAGTTCGATTGCTTTTGTCTTTTTGTTCGAGGTAGATAAGACCTCATTTAATGTTGAGCAGCTTCAATTAAGCGGTGTGTAGCGAAATGAGGAAACATCAATGATTACTTTTTGTTTTTTGATGGTCCAATCGAATGTGTACAACTCCTTTTGCTTGAAAATTCGATCTTCTCGGATGTCGGATGAACGGATAATCTTTTGTAAACACATTGGTGAAGTCGGTTGTCGGCTTTTGATAGATAGTTGGTTTCTCCGTTGATTATCTAGATGTCGGTTTGACCATCTAGAAGTCGGTGATCAACATATCTTAACTAGTACAGACTTGAGCTAAGTTTAGCCATTTCTGAGGAATTATTAATCGAGTAAAACAAATAATTTTCGACTCTAACCTTATGAAACCAAGTCGGTTATCAACAGAATTTAAGATATATATATATATATATATATATATATATATAAGTAAAGTAGGCTGGGATAGGTCCGGTTCCTAACATATTTTTCAGGAACCTAACCAAAATAAATTGTTCGGTTATTGCATAAATACTCATAGGAACCGAAAAAGAACCGAACTGTGTTATAACAGTTCAGTTTTTCTAGTTCTTTGAGTAACCGACTTACGAACAATAACCGGCAATAACTGCTTTTGAGTTAAGAATCGATCAAAAAATTGCAACTCACGTGCTAAAAGTATAATGAAAAATCGAGAACCGAAATGAAAAAATGAGGAACCGAATATTACATACCAAGAACCTGAACCAATTTATATATATAAACATATAAATCATGCATATTTCACATATGTAGTCGTTCATCGGCTAATACACATACATTTGGAAATGACCGGGAACCGGGATCAGTTTGTGCAAAAAATAATCGGAACCGAAAAAAAATATTTTTTTTTGTTTTAAATAACCGGACTGAACCGATTATTTTTGGTTCGGTCCGGTTCGATTCTCCAGTTCTCGGATATAAAACTCACCCCTAAAGTAAAGGAAAAAGTTTAAAGTTCTCATGGTTCATGTTTTTAACAAAGAAAAAGATTTTCTATCTCCTTTTCATTAGTGAGTTTTAAGATATATAGTACTCACTGTTTTTTTTTTATAAAGTTTATTTTAATTTGCGCAGTTTTTATTATAAATAGTAACATTAATTATGCATTTTGGTTTTATGAACTTAATTTAAAACGAAGAAAAAAAGAAAGATTTAGTACATGCATTTCATATACTTATGAAGTTCAGGCTGGGAGAGATTTCAACTTATGTTGTTTAAGTACATATTGCAGCTAGGAGAGTAATTTAGTTGGTTATATACGGAGCAAGATGATTAAGAATGAATCTTAAAGCGCAATTCCTATGTATTGATTGATATAAAAATTAGTTTAATAAAAGAATTCTATGCAAAAATGCAATATTTCTCGGATCGTACCGTCAATGTGCTTGTTTAGGCTTCTTTTGAGGGTTTAAGCTAGGGTAATTGTACCAGTGATTTTTATCCTTTTTGCTGGGAGAGGTACCTCTAGCCCGGGATCATGTGCTTGATCATTTGCTTGGGCATGAAGACTCCTTGAACTTGTAATTTGGTAGTTGTTTAGGACACTAGTTTGTAGTGTTCTCCCCCACAACCCTGTGCTTTCCTTAAGGTTAGTTAGTTAGCCTTCGTGTTTGTACATTGTTCTATTTTTTAGCGATAAATCCTATCGTTTCGAAAAAAAGAACCCGAGTCACGTAGATAACGAAAAATAAAAAGGGAAAAATGGAAAAGTCATGTTTGTTGGCGGTTGGTTTCTTGCTTGGGAATGAGATACACTTCCATTCTATTGAACATGTCTATCTTTTTCAGATAAGATAAAAAAATAATTTATATTTCTTGGTGTTAATTTATATTAAAAATAAAAATATCAAAAACTCGTATGTTTTCATTATCTACAAATAGAGACCACATTGGTAGGTTTTGAAACACAATTGCAATTACTCTCTTTTAAAGACTCGTGTAATTGAGCTCTTGAGGTGTCTTTGGAGAATATTTTATTTCAACTTTTGTAATTTTAATTTTTAATTGAGTTCATATTTTTTTTAATTATATGGTAAAATAATAATTTCTAGAAATTATTACAAGTTAATTTATATATATTTAATTAATTTATCACAATTAAAATTATTATAATATATATAATACCACTTGTGAGTTATCGCACGTCGTTTTACAGGAACAATATATCCAACTTATAAGACTAGTGGACTACTCCTCCTTTCGATTTTAGGATGGAACCTCATTTGAGCTTCATCATTTGAGCCTTTCTTGTTATTGTGCGCTTCATCTGCGTGAGACCGCACCTGTTCTCCCCTGATTATTACAAAAAATAATAACAAAAATCTATTGTAGATCATACATAATAAATAAATAAATAAAAATAACACAAATATTTTAGGTCGAGTAGAAATGAGAATAAAAATAAGTTCTGTTGTAAGATTGTGTGTATAGGTGAAGGAGAAAGAAATAATTTAATTATTAGGTTGAATTGGTCATAAAAATAGTATCATAAATTACAAATCAGTTTATTATGACATTTACATTTACATGAAGTTACACTATTTTTAAACTTTAGTTGACTACTGTTCCCCCACAATTTTAATATGAATACTATTTTTTGTTAAAAGAATAGAGCAAAGTTTATTGACCTAACCATCACCAAGCATTCGACCCTTAATGCGACGTCAGTTATATTTAACCGTACATATCTACACACACTGGCCATCCTGATCCATGAGTGTTTTAATAGATTACGCAACTATACTGTACATTTAGGAAAATAAATAAATGTTTATGAAAGTCAACTAGGCCATTTATCGAGTAGCATGATTCCTACAATTGTGGACCCACCTATTCATCCTACATTAAAAAAGGAAAAAAAAAAAAAGTACGTACAATATCCAATACCGAAAAATGCTAAGTCTCGTTACGGTACCATTCCGTCAAGTATTTTAACCGTTGGATCACATGTAGTTTGTATAAGATAGATAATCTAACGGTTTAAACACTTGGCGGGATGATACCGTAACGAGACCCTAGTCTTTCCCTATCCATACCATACGGATACCGCAAAAGAAGCAGTCACCTTTTTTTTTTACCGAAAAATTCATTCTGAAACTCATTTTATACTTAAAAAATAAAATTAAAAAAAAAACAACATTTTACAGTGACTGTTGTCACATCAATCAAACAATAATTCATCTCTAACCGATAAACTTACTCTCAAACTCAAAACAAAAATATTCTCGGAATATATTTTTTATATTAATTTTATATCTTTACAATAGTTCTCACATATTTATCAAATTTATAAATTACACTCATTATTACTTTATATTCCATGGAAAAATGTATAATAAATTAATTACAGGTTAATAATTAATACTCTTAATATTTTATAATTTCATACCTCTTATAAAACAAAATAATAAATTAATTATAAATTAACAATTCATACATAACAAATAAAAATATAAATGTTAAAATAAGTGAAAAAAAATAGTATTTTCTTGTTTTAAACTTAAAAAAATAATATAATATCAATAAATTTATTCAAAAACTTGGTATGACGATTGTTATGAATAGATTTAGCAAATACTTTCACATTGCCTGGATTACTTTATTATATATACCTAACATACTCCATATAAAATCGATTACAGATTAATTATGTTATTTTACTATTGTTACCACTAAAATTAAAACATTAACTAATTATATTAACCTAACTTAACTTACCTATTCATAACACTACTATTGTTATTTTGTATTTTTTTTTATTTTTGGCTTTTTCATGTATACTAAAATTCAAAACATCAATTTCAAATTATATTAACATAAATAATTTTCATNGGTTGGAGAAATTTTACCCCCTTTTTTTGGGTTTTAAAGTAATAGTCGGTTGGAGTGGGTCTAAGCCGTCCTATCAATCAGCTTCAGCCCTCCACACTATAAATGCCCCTCCACACCCATCCCTCGAAACCACATCAAAAACAACATAAACATAACATAGCAGCAGCCACAACACCTGAATTAATTTCTCCCCAACACATAAGAGAAATCCACAAAATGGCGGACGCCCTCGAGATCTCCGCCATCCCGGAAGAGCCCAAGTTCGATCTCCCAGTAGACTCGGAGCACCGCGCCAAGACCCTGAGGATCTTCTCCTTCGCGGGCCCCCACATGCGTTCCTTCCACCTGGCGTGGCTCTCCTTCTGCACCTGCCTCGTCTCCACGTTCGCCGCGGCCCCTCTCGTCCCCATCATCCGCGACAACCTCGGCCTCTCCCGCTCGGACGTCGGGGCCGCCGGCGTGGCCTCAGTCTCGGGCAGCATCTTCTCGCGCCTCGTCATGGGCTTCGCGTGCGACCTCGTGGGCCCGCGCTACGGATGCGCCTTCGTCAACCTCCTCGTGGCCCCCGTCGTGTTCTCCGTGGCGCTGGTCACGGACGCGGGCGGCTACGTGGCCGTCCGGTTCATGATCGGGGTGTCCCTGGCCACGTTTGTGTCGTGCAGCTACTGGACCAGCGTCATGTTCGCAGGGCCTATTATAGGGACCGTCAATGCGGTGGCTGCAGGGTGGGGGGACATGGGGGGCGGGCTCACACAGCTCATCATGCCGTTCCTTTTTCATATGATCAAGGTTGCCGGGGCCACGCCGTTCACCGCGTGGCGGATTGCCTTCATGGTGCCAGGCTGGCTGCATGTTATTGTTGGGGTCATGGTCCTTACTCTAGGCCAGGACTTGCCGGATGGGAACCTTGGCGCCTTGCAAAAGAGTGGCGAAGTCGCCAAAGACAAGTTTTCCAAGGTTATTTTTTATTATATTTTTTTCGATTCGGTTAACACTTCAGCCAAATTGCTTCATATCTTTTCCTTTTTTTTTATCATTTTTTTTTTGGTGTTGTGTTTGTAGGTTTTCAAGCATGCTGTGTCCAACTACAGAACGTGGGTGTTCTTCCTTGTCTACGGTTTTTCCATGGGAGTCCAGCTCTGCTCAAACAATGTTCTTACCGAATATTTCTACGACAGGTATATACTCTTTTTACCATTAGAGTGGTTTTGCTGCCAACATCCGCTGAGATTCAGTCTTTATTTGTAAAATGGTAATCAGTAAAAAATAATGCTTAAATAAACATTTTCCAATTACTCAAGTCTACTACTCATTTGTCGCAGATTCAACCTGAAGCTCCACACGGCGGGAACAGTAGCCGCAGCCTTCGGCATGACCAACTTCTTCGCCCGGCCCCTAGGCGGCTACGCCTCTGACATGGCTGCCCGGCGATTCGGGATGCGTGGCCGCTTGTGGGTACTGTGGGTGTTCCAAACCCTGGGGGGCAGCTTCTGCATCTGGCTGGGGAAGGCGGAGTCCCTACCCCTGGCAGTACTTTCCATGCTCCTCTTCTCGATGGGGGCACAGTCCGCCTGCGGGGCCACCTACGGCATCATCCCCTTTGTCTCCCGACGGGCCCTGGGCCTCATATCGGGCCTGACTGGGGCCGGCGGCAACTTTGGGGGAGGGCTGGCCCAACTGGTGTTCTTCTCGTCCACCCGATTCTCCGCAGGTGACGGGCTGACTTACATGGGGTTGATGGCGGTGGCAGGGACGCTGCCTGTGGCGCTGGTCCACTTCCCGCAGTGGGGGAGCATGTTCTTGGGGCCGTCCGAGGAGTGGACGGAGGAGAGGTATTATGAGGGCGAGTGGAGTGAGGAGGAGAAGGAGAGAGGGCTGCACCATGGGAGCCTCAAGTTCGCCCACAACAGCCGCACTGAGAGGGGAAGATCAAGGGCCGTGGTCGCCGCAGCTTCCGGGACACCCGGGTCCACCCCGCTACATGTTTAGTCTTAATAATTCTCATATATATATATATATATTCTGTCGTTTGCGACATAAAATAATTAGATTTATCGAAGTGGAGAAAAAGGCGATTAGCAGCGTTATGCTTAATTGCTTATGTATGCGGTGATAGGTTGTATATGGGCGTTTTCTAATGCCTGTGGGTGTATGTAGTGTCTTTCTTATAATTACACTATATACGTACTGAAATTTATATTTTGCAGTATTATTCATTGTGTATGAATAATTACATAGTTTTGTTTTGTGGGCTGTGAATGACATTTAACTCTTCGCTCAATGTTTTTCTACAACGTTTATACCAATGTTTTAAATACCGTACCGGTGACCATATCGGACGAGCCACTAGTACGCAGTTCAACCGGTTTAACCGGTTTTACCGTCTATTTTACTGGTTTTAATAAATATTAAATTAATCTATTATTGTAATATAAATAATATATAAAACTAACTATAATAAATATTAAAATTATCTAAAGTCAAATAACAATATAGATATATTAAATTTAAATGTTCAACTTTCTATTTATATAAATAAATTAATAAAAATATATTTTTTTAAAATCCGGTATGTCCGGTGTTTTAGTCGGTATTTTGGCCGATACAACTGATATTTTCCGGTATGAAGCCAGTATATACCGGTATTTTCGCCAAAACGGTATTTTGGAGGTAATTATACCGGTTGCACCACCGGTATCCGGTACATACCGGTATTTAAAACACTGGTTTATACTATATTGAATAGTTATTTATGTATTTTTCAGTTTTTGATGTGAGAATTTAATTAAAACAGATTAATATATCTCTCCTGATCTCGAGGCTTCGCGAGTTGTTTAAAGAAAAGGTCAACTCTTTGTATTTTATTTTTGTTAAATATAAAAAAGTGTTAATATACTACTAAATGGATGAAAAATAGTCATACTTTAAAAAAGAAGTATAGCCATTTTAGTATTTGCAAAGACAATACTGCCCTTACCACTAAAAGAACTCATTTAAGTTAAAATTTAATTGTAATTTTTTTAAAAAAAATGAAAGAAAATTTTTGGGATTTACACGTAAATTACCAAAGCCGTAAGGCAAACACAATTGCTCAAACACGTGAACAATTGATAAAGCTTAAATTTTTGGGATTTACTCGTAAATTATCAAAGCCGTAAGGCAAACACAATTGCTCAAACACGTGAACAATTGATAAAGCTTAAGCAAAAGTTTAAGAATAAGGAAAAAAAAACCTAGTATTGTTCATCCAAATTTTTAAAGAAACTACTACTAGTTTTAAGACATTTTAAAAAACCTTACACCTTCCCATTCACTCCAGTCGTACCCTAAATCCCCAAATTCGCTCCACTCGCCATCCATCTTCCTCGCGTGTCTTCCCTGGCAGGTAGTCGGGCCCTTTGTCGGCGAATGGCTCTTAGCCGCACAACCTTTGCCCTAATTTCGTGCTGTCATTATCAGCTTGTGTCGGTGGACGATGACGATCGTCCGACGGTCAGGTGTCGCTGTTTTCAGGTTGTCGATCGAGGGGGAGGTTTGTTGGCCTTCTTGGTCTCGAGGTGGTGCGGGGTTGGGGCTTAGGCGTGGCCCTAGTCGCTCGCGAGGTCTGTGGCGGGGCGGAAGGGGCTGAGGAAATGGCGACTTCTGGCCCCTATTCCCGTGTTCCCTGGTGTGGGGTGGATGGGAGACCGGCGTTGCCGGACCTTGGCCAGTGGTGTTGGCCGGGTCCGAGACGATGGTGGCGTGGGGGTGGGGGGAAGGGTTGTTGCTCTTCCAACTGTGGGTCGGGTTCTTATTCCTGGAGTGGTTCGAGGTCTATGGTTTCGATTTCAGTTAGGCGTTTTGGCAGTTTCGGGAGAATATTCTTGGATTCCAGTCTAGTATTTTGGGTGGTCGACCTGGGTTCTACTGGTGCATCGTACTGGGCTTGGTTTGTCTGCAAGAGGAAAGACCTTTGTGTTATTTTCATTTAGTTTAGCTTTGTTTTGTTTTGTGTGTCTGGTGTTGTTTGTGTTCGTTGTTGCATTTTGGGTTGTGTTTTCTCCCGGGTGGAAGCATGTTATTTTCCTGTTGGGAGCGTGTTATTCTTCTATTAGGAGCTGTGTAGTTTGTTGTGTTGTGGGTGCGTTAGTGTAGTTGCTTCTAGGCTACCTCTGTGTAGGCCTCCTAGATTCAACTGTTTGGCTGCTTGGCTATATATTTTAGTTGTAATTACGTGGTTTTTGGTTATATATAAATTCTNACTAGTTTTAAAGCTAGACATATACATAATTACATTGAATATAAAAGGCTGAAAAACAAGCTTAACTTTTTTAGCCTAAAAATAAATAAATCTAAATTGATTAGATAATGGAAAAAGAAAATAATGTTAGAATATTTCTCAAAACATGAAAAATTAGACTACTTGATTAAAACTATGGTAGATGCAAGAAGGCTAGGATCAACAGACCACGATTTAAAGAAAAATTATAACTTCAGAAATGAAGGAGTAATAAAGAATTTAAATAACTTAATTTCTCGAAAAAATAAAATATTTTTTGGAATCATTTCTGGAAAAGAAGCAATAAATACAGATCAATGTGGCCTCTTTGTAGCCAGTTTATGGCCTAAAAATATTAATGAAGTCTTTTATTTTGAAAACTATGCTTTTTGAAAAATACTTTGTTAATTCGTGATCAACATGAATTTTTTCCAAAATCGCGTGGTTTTTTTGGTCGGCCAAAGATTGGTGCATCCGTGGAAAATTTTCTGAAGTTTTCTGGGAAAGTTTTTCACAGACTTGCTATTTTTATACATGCTCTTTATGGCTTTGCCTACCGTGAGCAGGTTTGTCACTGGACTTACCATGAATTGTTTGCAAGCGGGTCTTACGACTTTGTCTGCCACGAGCGTACTTACGACTGTACCGACCACGAGTTGTTTGTGCACGGATCTTATGGATTAGCCTACCACGATCGGGTTTACGGTTGTGCCAATCGTCAGTTCTTTGTGAGCAAATCTTACGACTTTACCTGCCGCGGTCGAGATTACGGTTGTGCTGACCGCGAGTTGTTTGTGAGCGGATCTTAAGGACCAAGGAAGGATGTGTTAGATATGGAACCCAACAGGATGTGCTTTTGAAGGATAATGTTTTGGTCGATCATGGATGTCGATCATTCAGAAAGATCAGTGAGTGTGATTTCGGTTCAAGAAGCTTCACGATGAGTCTTATTAGTTTATAAAGGATAGTCCTCCCTCGAATAAAATTAGATTCCTTGGTCAGATCGTTACTTATCCTACAAAATCAGGCCCCTTGGGTCATGTGCGAAGAATCGTCTTATGCTAAAAGTAGATGTTTATATTTCTTCCCTTGAGGTTGAGACATAGGTCGTTCTTTGTGTCAAGGGGAAAGGATAGTTTACGAGGTCGTTCCCACCTTGTGGGCCTTGTGGATGGTGAGACTTTCGTTTCGTCTTATGTGAAAACACGGCGACTTCATTAGATCGCCTAAGACATGCTTAGTTGACCATTATTGCGTCGATCGTCAAGATGCGCTACTTAGTAGATAGTCTTTTTCACGGGAGGCGCTATTTTGGAGGACCGTCTCTGTAATTGTATGAAGCAACTGACAGTTCACTGATTCTGCAGTTGCGTCGGCATATGATGTAAGATATATACATATATATAGATATATATATATATATATATATAGGGATTGGTTCCAATGAGGACACATTCTTAAAATGAGGACTATTATTTGACCATTGACCATTGACTGTTGACTCCGGCGTTGACCATTGACTTCTGGCATTGACTTTCGGCATTGACCCGTTGACCATAATATGTATTGTGTATGAAGTAAATATGGTGAGGCAAATTTAATGTAAATATGTTGCAAAGTTATTGAAACATGGTTAGTTGCAAAGTTAGTTCTATCTTATTGCAGGGTTAGATGTTTTTATTTGCAATGTTTAGTTGTATTCAGTTTGCAAGGTTAGTTGTCTGTAGTTGCAAGGTTAGTTGTGTTTAGTTGCAAGGTCAGTTGTCTTTGGTTGCAAGGTTAGTTGTCTTTAGTTGCAAGGTTAGTTGTCTTTGGTTGCAAGGTTAGTTATCTTTAGTTGCAAGCTTAGTTCTGTCTAGTTGCAATGTTAGTTTTCTCTAGTTGGAAGGTTAGTTGTCTGTAGTTACAAAGTTAGTTCTATCTTGTTGCAGGGTTAGTTGTTTTTATTTGCAATATTTAGTTATATTCAGTTTGCAAGGTTAGTTGTGTGTAGTTGCAAGGTTAGTTGTCTTTAGTTGCAAGGTTAGTTGTCTTTGGTTGCAAGATTAGTTATCTGTAGTTGCAAGGTTAGTTTCTGTCTAGTTGCAATGTTAGTTTTCTCTAGTTGCAAGGTTAGTTGTCTGTAGTTGCAAGGTTAGTTGTCTGTAGTTGCAAGGAGTTGTCCTCATTGTAAGAGTTGTCCTCATTTGATCCGCCTCCTATATATATATATATATTGAAAAAATCTCTCGCCGACCTGGATACAGCTATGAGCGTACTTTTTTTGCTCGACAATGGCTTCTGGTTGTAAAGAAACAATCGGGGATCATCAAAGATATTTTTTCTTTACATAGAAGCAGTCATTAGTTTGTAAATAGATGATCATCAATTGGCCAGAGCATTTTGTGGAGGTCGCCTTTAGTTTGTAAATAAACGATCGTCGATCGACTGGAGTACATCATGAACATCGTCTTTAGATTTTGAAGAAACGTTCGTTGATCGGCCGGAGTATTTCATGGAGATCGCCTTTAGTTTGTGAAGAAACGTTCGTTGAACGACCAATAGTGCATTCGTCTCGTACAGAGGTCATTTCTTAGGAATGTCAAGTAAAATCAAGCATTGGTTGGATGTCTGTCTTTTATTCTTTCGACTCTTTCTTTATATATCGTAAAAGCGTGATCTTCTCTTTGAATTTGACATGTGGCGATCGAAAAGACAGCGACCTCATCAATTTATGGTGCAACAATCGTGTATACATTACAAAGATAACGACCATGTAAAAATAAGCAAGAGAGCAATAATTTTGCATGTGCAAACATGTTACAATATTTACATTTGAACATGTGTAACTTGTCGATCCTATACACTTCGAATATAGAAAAAGTTTGATAGTCTATATATGTGTGCAGTGGAAAAATTCTTTTGGTGATTTTGTTGCCAATGTCTCTGACGTAAATCGGTTATTCTTCTATTTGCATTAGTAAGGGCTGATCATCGGCAAGTCGTCTCCCAATAGGATGACATTGGGCTGAAATGTCCTAGGAGTATCTTTGCACAGATCGACAGGCGTTGGATTGATGCTTCGCCTTTTTGCTGAT